TACATTTTCTGACGTCAGACACGCAAAGCAATGAATGTGGTTTTTAATTTGATAGATGCTTTTGTGCTTTTTTGTAAATAATTGTTTGTTTTGATATTGTAACACAGTGATGACTGCTGTACCCATATTTTGACTATTTTATTTATAATGTCTGTTTTGTTCACGCATCGTTGTAAATATAACGGAATTTGATAAGACTGTCGTACAAGTGAGAGGTTTAGCGCTATAAAACCAGGTTCAATCCACCATTTTCTACATTTGAAAATGCCTGTACCAAGTCAGGAATATGACAGTTGTCCATTCGTTTGATGTGTTTTGTCATTTGATTTTGCCATGTGATTAGGGACTTTCCGATTGAATTTTCCTCGGAGTTCAGTATTTTTGTGATTTTACTTTTTACATTGTATACAGTGGAGCATCCTTACATTGTATACAGTGGAGCATCCTTACATTGTATACAGTTGAGCATCCTTACATTGTATACAATAGAACATTCTTACATTGTATGCAGTGGAGCATCCTTACATTGTACACAGTTGAACATCCTTACATTGTATACAGTTGAGCATCCTAACATTGTATACAGTTGCACATTCTTACATTGTATATATAACCAGGAAGATTTGGACACATGTGAAGTAGAAATAAAGCCAGTTCAGACATTATATTTTAAGTGCTAAAGTGACAATTTGTTAATCCGTTTATCTAACCTTTTGCATTTCTTTGTGTTTAATTAATTCTATTGTTAAATATATGTTTGTCGTAATGGAAACCACCTTGACTATAAAAAATTAATCCGTTGGACACTTATCCTTTTCTATAGATACTGTTTTTTATATATACTTTTGTATGTTATTTTGAAGTCAGTTTAGGTCTTAGGTCTGGTACTGTCCAGACCTTGCTAATAAAGTTTAAAGTATTGGTATTCCGTCTTTGAATTGCTATAGCCGGAAAACTCCCGGTTATATATTGGTTGAGGTTACCCGCGGCACGATCCGAGCTAGTTCCCCCAAACTAGCAAATGAATACCTCCAGAAGCAACAATATGGAAGGATCCTGGAATTACCAGCCCTGCAGAAATGGACATCCGTTTAGTGAGAAAAGCAGATACCTGTTTGGACTTTCTATGCAAATATTGCGGTAAGACATTGAATGTTTTCACATACCATCGGTGTTATGCAGTTAATGCTTATTGTTACAAGTGCAGACATCATGGACATTTTGCCCGTATGTGTAATTTTCACGTTAAGTCATTTGTCAGCAACCCAAAACCAAAGAAGAAATCAAAATCAAAAATTCAAAGGGACAGCGACCAAATGAGAAAGTTTATAGAGAAGAAAAAAATGTCTCAATTTCCGTTTCAAGGACTTGAGGACAAGGAACTCTCTACTTTTACATGCTCCATACCGGACGAATCCGTGAAACAGCACCTTAACAAGTTAAAAGCGTCTCATCAAAACTCCCTCAAAGAAATCGCTGTGCTCAAATGTGAAAATTCTAAATTGAATACCGTAGTGAAAGATAATGAGATGTTAAGGAACAATTTGGACAAATTAAATTTGGAGCATTTACAACATGTTCGGCTAATCCAAACGATCGAACATGAGTTAGCCAAGCATACCAGTAGAACTGAAAATTTTGAGAAAGAAATAGTGCGGTTGAAAGAGGAGAACCTAAGTTTAACCAACACCAGATACAGATTAACTATGGATTTAAAAAGTAAAGAGATGCAAGACTGTCATGTTATAAAAAAACTGAAGGACGAAATTCAGAGACTTAAAATTCAAAATTCCAACGATATACGTAAACATCAAGATTTGCTTCATGAACTTTCAATCGCCAAGAATCAAATTGAAAGCTTGCATACAAACTATTCTCACAATCCGCATCAACGCCAAAGACGAGGAGGATACCCACGAAGATAACCGAGTGAAATTGTTTCAATTCGGCAAACTCGGAGACCGAGTTTAGGTGGAGTAGTGGCGAATATAACCAGGAAGATTTGTGAAGTAGAAATAAAGCCAGTTCAGACATTATGTTTTAAGTGCTAAAGTGACAATTTGTTAATCCGTTTATCTAACCTTTTGCATTTCTTTGTGTTTAATTAATTCTATTGTTAAATATATGTTTGTCGTAATGGAAACCACCTTGACGATAAAAAGTTAATCCGTTGGACACTAATCCTTTTCTATAGATACTGTTTTTTATATATACTTTTGTATGTTATTTTGAAGTCAGTTTAGGTCTTAGGTCTGGTACTGTCCGGACTTTGCTAATAAAGTTTAAAGTATTGGTATTCCGTCTTTGAATTAATATAACACGTAAAACTCCTGGTTATATATACAGTGGAGCATCCTAACATTATATACAGTTGAGCATCCTAACATTGTATACAGTTGAGCATCCTAACATTGTATACAGTTGCACATTCTTACATTGTATACAGTGGAGCATCCTTATATTGTTTACAGCTGAACAGCAAAATGTTGTAGTACAATAGAACATCCTTAGATTGAATACAGTTGAACATTCTAATATTTTATACATTGGAACACTCTTACATTATATAAAAATGAACATCCTAACATTGTATACAGTAGAACATCAATGATATTTGGTATGCAGTTGTATTAGCTTTGGCACATCTCCTTACCATGGAGATTATTTGGCCCCACCCCCTCAGTCAAGGTCTATTTTCATAGTTTACATGTATTAGTTTGTGATTAGGTCAATTTATGGGTAACCACTAGTGGTAGGTCAATGTTATTTGGTATGCAGTTGTATAAGCATTGGCACATCTCATTTCCATGGAGAATATTTGGCCCCGCCCCCTCAGTCATGGTCTATTTACTTTGAAACTTTTGCTTAGTTTACATGTATTAGTTTGTGATTAGATCAGTTTAAGATGAACTGCTAATGTTAAGTCAATGATATTTGGTATGCAAATTTATTGGCATTTGCAAGTATCGTTTCCATGGAGATTATATAGCCCCACCCCTGATCATGGTTCATTGACTTTGAAACTTTTTCATAGTTAACAAGTTAATGTTTGTGTTTAGGTTTGTTTAAAGGGAACGACTTATGATAAGTCAATGGTATTTGGTATGCAGTTGTATTAGCATTGGTTCATCTCATTCCATGGAGATTGTTTAGCCATGTACCTTCAGTCAAGGTTCATCGACTTGGAATATTTGCATAACTTACATGATAAAGTATTGCTATTTTAATTTCAACATTTGCATTATCAAAATTACAAAAAAGGCGAGACATATCTCTGTGATAACAATTTATTTATGAAACTATGAATATTGAAAATGATAACACGTTCTACATTTCAATCCTTATGTTGTCTGTTTTTTTTTTTTCAGTCCCTTGGTTTCTTCTAGATGTTAAAAGTGTTTAAACACAAGTTAAGGTGTAATACTACCATTGATTTTCCCCTATTAGTCTTTGTTAAATTTGCACTTTTCAAAAAATTGTGCAGAATTTATCTTTGTTTCAAATAAAGACATACTTGGCAAGAGTAAATTTTTATCCTGTCCAGTACTATAGACAAAATTTCACATAACATTTCATTGCATATAAGAAAATAACCATCACTGGAAGTTAACCAATCAAATTTTCACCCCTTTTTTCCCTGTGTACAAGCTTTAGTAACCATGTAACCTCAAGTTTCCAAAATATTTTATAGTATCACCAAATAAAGAAAGAATGGTGCTTTGAAACACCCAAGATATATGTTTATGACTCAGAAATTTTTTACTGCAATGAAATGTAGGATTAATTTCCTACAACTGTCAAATTCAAGGGAATATTTTTTTTGGACCCTTTTTCCTATGCCACCGGATGTGACGTACTATGATTTGGTGGTATTACACCTTAAAACTTTTTGGGCTAAAATTACTATCCAAAGTTGTGATTGTTGTCTATATATATATGTCTTTCAGAAGCTTTGATAAAGAAAAAATATTGAAAATGAGAAAAATATCTAACTGTAGCTAAAAAATGGCTGGATCACAGCACCAACGATGCTTTGATTTACGTTTGGTTTTCAATTACAAGTCACTGTCGGCTCTCAGGCTGATATCATGACCTAAGGCTGATAAGGGGTCTGATATGAAAAATGACATGTTATGTTCTTTTTATCATATACTTCAGAAAGACATACAGACAAGAACTTTTTTTTAAACTTTGAAAAATGCATTTATCGTATTATTTTTATTGCATTTTTGAATAATATTTTTTCCTGTTTCCTTATATTTGTTTGTTATCCTACTTAGTTATGTTTTTCACTAAAAATCTACCATTGAGGTGTATTTTCCAGAATTTGAAAAATTACGTCAAAATGCCACAGGATAACGTTACAGAAAGGCATGTGATAATAACCGGAAGCAGTTGATATAAAGCGGTAGCAGTTGATAACGAAAGTCATATCACACGGCTAAGACAATTCTTCAAATTTAATGAATAAATATATGAACAAATAAGTTTTATCAAGGGGTACAATTACACCATTATTTTCTATAAGTATATGATAAATAGAGAATATTATTATATTGCTTTTCCAATATTACATATTTATCAACCCGAGACATCAATGTTATCCCAGGAGCTTAACTCAAAGGATTATGTTGGTTGAGGGTTGATATGGTGTGTGATATAGAAAGAGCCTTATCATGATATACACTTTATTATATACCAAAAATAGATGTGTTTCAATGTCATGATGTCATACAGATTAGGGGTTTGATAACATGTTGCAACCATGACTGATATTGATATCATTATATATGGCTGATAGAGAACGATTGCCATTGGTTACACATGCAATTTAGTTCTATTTACCACTTGGCATATAAAAAAAATAATATATTACGTATGTTACCTATTAAAGTGATCTCATATTTTAATCAGTGAACAATTTATGTAAGTACTGTGTTAGATTATATAAGCTAACTGTAAAATCTACTAAAACTTTAGATATTTCTTAATACTTACAGGTTCACCAACTCTACCAGTATTGTGTTCAAACTTACCTTATTTGTCAGTGTCTACATTAAAAAGAATTCTGACTGCTTGGAAGGCTGCAGTATGATACTATGGTGCTGTATTCATTGTTCACCTGGATTTAAAGAAAAGAAGGTTAAAAAATAACTGATGGAGTTCGTAAAGAAATGGTTTATAATTTACTAAAATTAATTATGGCAGCAAAATCTTCAGGATTTAAATAAGTATTAATATCATGGCATCATCACTGAATTATCAGAGTTACCATTTGCTTTAAACAGATTGTATGTTATTACACTGAAGTAACAACTGACATTATAAGAGAGACAAAAAAGTGAAAAAAAGGAGAAAAAATTTTCAGTATATTTATAAGACTTATCAAAATGAAAATGCAAAGTGTTTATCAAATGTTGCCAAAGTAACTGATGTTGAATAATGGATGAAACAAGCAAAATGTTGTTTATTTAATAGAAAATATGAAATTAGATGTGTTAAACAAATACAATTGTTTGAGAAACAAAAGAAACTTATTTTCAAGGAAGAATATACATTGTAAAATAGCAACAAACAAAAAAACAGAAATAATATTTCTAAATGATTCTCAAAGACTAATGATATATCAAAGTAACATTTTTATCTTTATTTCTTGGTATTGCATAATATTTTTTTTCTCCAACGCATTTCCTTTTCTGTATGAGAAATATTATACAACCGTAAAATTTTTGCAGTGATATAATGGTATGACGTTGTCATCAACATCCGAAGACATTTGGTTTCCAGACAATAACTTGATTATAAGTGTATGGATCTCTATGAAATTGTACCACTAGGTTGCATACCACAAAAGGGATGTCAGGAGTGATTTTGGGGATTATTGTCTTTACTGTTGAGGAAAAAGGGGCCAAAAAGAAGCATTTTTCTTATTTCAGGACAATAACTTGTCTATGGATCTATAGGAAATTGTACCACAATGTTCCATACAAAAAATGGAAGGTTGGGATTGATGTTTAGCATTATGGCCCAAACCGTTTAGGAAAAAGGGGCCAAAAACAATACTTTTCTAATACTTTGTATTAATTGCTTATTTCTTTACCAATTTCAATTGGGTTTAACTCAAAATCTTGAATTCCTGGTGTTCTTTAAGATGCTAGTTCTTACCATGTATTTAGATTTTGGATTTGGGCCCTATTTTTAAATTGGTCCACATTGAGGTCCAAGGGGTTCAAATTTGAACTTGTTTTACTTCATCAAAAAATAGAATTATTGGGGTTCTTTGATGTGCTGAATCTAACCATGTATTTACATTTTTGATTTTTCTGACCTGGTTTTCAAATTGGTATACAGTAAGGTCCAAAGTGTCCAAAATTAAAATTAGTTTGATTTCAAGAAAAATTGAAATCTTTGGGTTCTTTGATATGCTGAATTTAACTGTGTAGTTTTAGGATTCAAATACTAAACAAAGTTAGAGAAATATTATGTAAATACTGGAAAAAATACAAAAAAAATAATAATAAAAAATGTACTGTTCAAAGGAAGAAAATATTACTAAACAAGATAAAAAAGGAAATTTCATCACTCTCCTGAACAAGAAGAACTGAAGCTAGAAAATTAAAACAGGATTAGAAAATTAGTGAAGATATGGAACTAACAAGAAGAATATTCAATACCATACAAACAGAATAATAATAGGTAAAACTATTCAAAACAGGAAATAATACTAAAACATATAACAAAAACAGAAAAAATGAAATTGAAATAATGAACAAAAAATATAGTAGCAGTTGATTTGAAGGCCTAAAGCAATTATCAAATGTGTCGCAGGTAGTCCCGACAGGATGAACTGAGATATTTGAATTCATTATTTTCTAGCCTTTTTAAAACTATCATTCTTGTATCAGAAGCATCATGCAAATATTGGCAATGTCCTATATTTTTACCATTGCCTCAATGAGAGGGGTACATAGTGATGCACATGTCTGTCTGTCTGTCTGTCACAAATTTGGTTTTGGGATGTACTACTTGACCAATCTGTTTGAATATAAAAACAATATCATGCACCATAGAATACAGGTCACATTCTATTTTGATGGTTTTGTCATTTGTTCAATAATTAAGCCCCTTAGTTACCTTAAAAATTGAGGTTTCTTCTGTTACCTGATGATATTTATATTACTGCAAATCTTTTTGGGGAAAAAAACCTCATGAAATATACCAGGCTTATTATTTTGTACTCCAGAAACATGTTTTGACTAACTTAAACACAATGCCATGGACCATTTAATACAGGTTAAGTCTAATTTTGATGATTTTAATATTAACTGTTTAAGAGGTGTTCCCCTTAGTTACTTTAAATGTTTATATTTTCCTTTCAAGCTGATAATAAAAGTACAGTTTGACAAAATGTTTTAAAATTTAAACACAATGTTATGAAACATAAAATGCGGGTAAAGTTTGATTTAAATTCTGGTTTTGGCATTTACCTTTAAAGATGTTTGTCTACAAGTAGGGGTTTGTTTATGTGATCACATTATTCTTGTTTAATATATCCCAATTAAATATATACCAGCAAGATTCCTTGCAAAATATGCAAGTTACTGACAAAAATGAATACAGTATTAATCATTTAGTACATTTATTGCATAAGTAAGTAGGACCAAATACACATAAATTGGTTTATACATGTGTATTTTCATGAAATATTGTTAGATTTAAATACCACTTTTTTGCGACCCAAATGAAAGTTTTCCACAGAGTCATCTCATCGTGGTCAAGGTATTTAAACTTTTATCAGTTCACTTGACCCAACAAATAAATGCAATAGCTATTGTTCTCTGTGTAGTTTATTCACTGGGACCTTTAAAATTCTTCTAGAAGAAATCCATCATTCATTGATTAATTTACCTGACCAAAAAAAGGATCTTCTTAGTAGATGAAAGTACATGTTTCAACTCACAAAACTGCATGTGATGTTGTATTTATTCAATATCAATAATGTTTTTCAATATGTTCAATATAAACATAAAGTATGCCCTGCATTCCACTTTTGATCTTTTCATTTTGTTCTCATAATGTTTATGAGTTTGACCTTGCCAATCATAAAATAATTGTAACACATTATATAATCTTGTTTATGAATAAGTGCATGGTTTACAGTTATTGTACAGCTATATATCAGGGCTTTTCAATTAAAAAAAAATTTAGTGAGAAATCAGTCAACCCAATGGGAAGTATTGTCCCTAAAATGCCCCTTTCAGCAAATTTTGCATTTTTTGGCTTTTTTTTTTTACTCCAGACTAGATGAAATATGTACATTGCAGAATTGATCAACTGAACAAGATTCATCTACCAACTGCGTTTATTTACAGCTTTTGGCTTAAATCTCAAAAACTATAAGAGTAAAATGAAAAAACTTAAATTTCAAATATAAACAATGCTTAAAGATCTGCAGTCTTCTTGTGCCGAAATAGTCCGGTTACACATTAAAGAGTCATTGCCCTCGAAACACGCTTTTTAAACGATTTATGTGTACAGATGAAATGAAATGAAGGAAAAAACAATACAGGAGTGTTCTTGCTAGTATTATTGCTTCTGAAATGACCCTTTTTCTTAAGTGTTTGCTATGGTGACAAATGAGCTATTTGGGTTCCTAGGAGACTCGACATTTCGTTTTGCCATGATGTAATATCTCTCTACTCTATTTTTTAATGCCCCCTTGGCACTTTCACTGCTTTTTACCACATCTTAATAATGGTAAGTTAAGGCACCAGTATGTTACTGATGTTCAAATCTTATAAATAGATTAACAAGACAAATCAATGGAATACACAAAACTTAGGAAAACTCAATTAAAGAGATGCGTCGACAATTTAATTAGTTATCAAAGGTACCAGGCTTATAATTTGGTACGCCAGACGCGCGTATTGTCTGCAAAAGACTCATCAGTGACGCTCAGATCAAAATAGTTAGAAAGCTAAAACAAGTACAAAGTTGAAGCTTTGCAAGCTTTGCAAGCATCACCTGCAATGCAAATCCATACTTTGTCAATATGACATAATCGGGAATAGGAAACAGTCGGTAAAGTTAAGGATTAAATGACTATTCTGTACTATAACATTATTTGTAAGCCTTATGGTTAAAAGTACTTTAGAATATAGCAAAGTGCTCTCGACCAATGAAATTGTAGGATTTGATGTCTCTTAATTGTGAAGAATGAATGTAAATCATGTTCTTAGTAAGGGATTATCCTATTATTTGGGTCTATTTACAGTTCAAAACAAAGAGCTTCTATAAATGAGTTACAACTGCCCCGAAGCACATTTATCAGATTGAAAGGATTTATTACAGTGATTGAAACTGACTAAAAGTTGAATTGTGAAACAAACAAAAAAATCAAAATAAGTCGAAGCTTACTGGTGCAGTAAAATTTGTACCTTTAATGTTATTTTGAAAATATTAATAACTTCAAATTAAAAAAAAATAAACAATATCAAACCAATGCAAAAAAATAAAGAAAAAAAAGTTTAAAAATAAAAAAATAACCTAAATCTTTAGCTTTCCAAAACTTTTATTACTGAACCAGCGGTTGGAAAAAATAATTATTTCCAATATTCCGATAAAATAAAAGAAAAAAAAACCAACAGGAATTTGATTTAAGTTTTGAATATATTTATAACTTTTAAAGGCATTTTATTAGAACATTTCCCTAACAATGAAATAGTATTTGATTTAAAAAGCCGGACCAAAATGTTGGCTGTGAAATAAAATTAGTTGCAACTCAAATGTATTTATTGATTTAAACTGTAAATAAAAAAAAAAGGATAATTCCTCACTATAATTTACATGATTTACATTCATACTCACAATCAGGAAACATATACAATTCCTACCTTTTCTTTGTACTTGTGTCACCTAATGTCTATAACGCATTTTTTTTAAAAATATTTCCCAATTATAAGAAAGTCCTTACATCACTAAAACTAACCCATAAATGAAATGCTGAAAAATGCAGTCATGCATCATTTATAAACATTTAATTTACACTGACAATGAAACTAATTCTTGAATACAACCAATCAAGAGATCATTTGAGCCTTGAGCACTTTACAATATTCTAAGTTTGTACGAGAATGATAATCCCTTACTTCATGATAAGTACTCGCTAACGCTCGTACTTAATCATGAAGAAATAGATTATCATTCTCTTACATATACATGTTCGGAAATTAACACATTCTTGTTAAGCCTTTTGTTGAATGTACTACATTGTATGTGTTGACAGTATTAAAGAATTCTGTTAAATCCTTTGACTGAACACTCATTCACGAAACACCATTAACGTGACGCATTTAAAACTTTTTCAGAGAAATGTTAGTTATATGTAAAAGGACATAGAAAAGAAAACTTCTTTCTTGTTCTATTTATATGATGTCTAAAAGTATACATTACTTTAATTTTTTTTTATATAAGCCATTTTATCCAACTATTTCCCTTACTATTGAGAACACCACAGGGTTCAACTGTTTCATTTTAGGTTTTGCAGAGTCACTTATTCATTTTAACTATTGAATGAACATAAGAATGATAAATCATGCGTAAATCCTGATTTTTTTTTTATGTCACTGTGCATGATTCATAGTGATTAGCAACTAGTCTGATGAAACTAGACAATTCCAGTGGATCCGTGATTTGTTTTGTATTCTGAGTTCTGACATGGAATATAAATAATTATATCATAGATAATAAGGACTTTATATGGCGTCATACAAAACTATCTTGTCCTACTTACTCAGCATATTCCTTTTACCAAGTGGTAGTCAAAACTATATCTGGTTATTCTTTTTGCAATGATAATAAAAATGTATAAAACTAAAATATACAACTTTGTCTAAAATACGAACCAGCTATGACCTCCCAGCGTGATGTTGTTTATCATCTGTCATCTGTAGAATTCTTTGTAAAGACGTTTTAAAAATCAGTTGATCAATTTGGAAACTTGGCCTGAAACTTCTCCCTTAGGACATTCCTGTTTGAATTGCGCATACACGAGTTACTTTCATGCAACACCGTGATAGTTATTTTAGATGAATTTGGCTTGAACGTTTTGCCTTAAAACTTTGTGTCTGTTTCTTATTGAACACAACGCTAACATTTTTAAAGTCTAAAAGGAAATGTCAATAGAAATTCACATTTGACCTTTTTTAAGATCAAGGTTTTCTCCATCTATCGAATCTAAATCCCATATGGTTTTTCTTCTCTACATATTATACTTAAGAAATCGGATTAGAAAGCCATAATTCTGAGAGAAGTTGAAAGCACCAGTGACTTGTAGTTATTGGTATCCATAAAATGGTGATTAATTGGTAAGTAATAATTTTTTTTTATGGGCTGTACAGGAAAGGTCATGTCAAGAGTTATCTTGAAGAAATGTTTACATGTTCATTTCAGTAATAGATATAACAGAAACTGTAGGCAGTAATTATGACCAGTGGCTGTGTTTGAACGACTTCAAATATTACCCTATCCCACACAAGAAAATATATACATTTGTTTTGTAACTGATGAAAATTAAAGTGCTTTTCATTCGGGATCGGAGGCCTTGTTCCAGTGGAAAACAACTCATCACAGATACCAGGATTTGAGCAATGAGGAATGGTTAATTAGATTTGCTCCATAAAATGATTGTAAGGCTACATGTCCGTCTGACAGGGTTCATATGACCTTTAACTCATTTACATGGATCATTAAATAATGTTTATTTATGAGATACTTGTACAACTTTTTTTCTCCCGAGATATTTCAGCGTGTGCACTCTTCTGACGTATTTGTAAAATAAAATATTGCTAGTTTATTAAAACAAGAAGTTACATATTACATGGAAATTTTGTTCACTTCTCCTTTTTGTTGCAACTCTGGGGTTTTTTATGCAGATTTCCCCCCCCCCCCTACTTATTAAGTTTATATGTTATATGCCGCCAACATATCTTTAATAGGTTTTGCATTTTTTGTATCTCAGTTGTCTTGTTTTTGGTATATTTTAAGATCTGATTTTTTTATCTCAATTGTTGATTCCAATTATCTATCATTTCATTTCTTAGTTTTCTTAATCTTCGCCAGGAGAGATATAAATGCTACGTTTTTAGTACTACAGCTTCTATTTATTTTGGCATTTCATTACACCGATATTGTTTTGTTTCAGATACTGTCACACGTTTTAATTTACAATAAAATTTAATTCGTATTCATTAGCTTCTATTTTCATTTGACCATTTCATATATTTAGTTTTAGGGTTAAGTAACTTTTGGTAATAGAGATACAAGGCGTGGTAAGTAACTTTGTTTTATGCATAAATGAACTTTGCTAAACATATAAAAATGAGATGATGTGATATGATTGTCAATGAGACAACTATCCACCAGAGATAAAATGGCAGTAAGCAATTAAATGCCACCATACAACCTCGAACAATGAGAAAACAGTAAAATTACAAAAATACCGAACTCCAAGGAAAATTCAATACGGAAAATCCTTGTATAAATGGCAAAATCAAAAGCTCAAACACATCAAACGAATGGAAAGAACTGGTTTTATAGCTTGCGTAACCTCTCATTTGTATGGCAGTCGCATAAAATTACATTATATTGACAACAATGTGTGACCAAAACAAACACCAATGCCTTATAATTTACGAAAATCAAATATGACAGACACGAACCAACGACAACCAATGTACTACATGCTCCTGATTTGGAACAGGCACTTACATAATGTGGCGTGATTAAACATGTTTGTGAGCGCTCAACCGTCCCCATAACATGAGACAGTGGTGTAACAGCACAACATAAAAACAATCAGTTGCAATTGGCTTAACTCAAAAGATAAGTACGAGGCAATGTACCGAATTACCTTTTTTTCAATGCAAAAGAAGGAATACGATATATCAATTAAAGATGTCCGTCTGACAGGGTTCATATGACCTTTAACTCATTGACATGGATCATTAAGTAATGTTTATTTATGAGATACTTGTACAACTTTTTTTCTCCCGAGACATTTCAGCGTGTGCACTCTTCTGACGTATTTGTAAAATAAAATATTGCTAGTTTATTAAAACAAGAAGTTACATATTACATGGAAATTTTGTTCATTTCTCCTTTTTGTTGCAACTCTGGGGTTTTTTATCGGCAGATTTTCCCCCCTACTTATTAAGTTTATATGTTATATGCCGCCAACATATCTTTAATAGGTTTGGCATTTTTTTGTATCTCAGTTGTCTTGTTTTTGGTATATTTTAAGATCTGATTTTTTTTATCTCAATTGTTGATTCCAATTATCTATCATTTCATTTCTTAGTTTTCTTAATCTTCGCCAGGAGAGATATAAATGCTACGTTTTTAGTACTACAGCTTCTATTTATTTTGGCATTTCATTACACCGATATTGTTTTGTTTCAGATACTGTCACACGTTTTAATTTACAATAAAATTTAATTCGTATTCATTAGCTTCTATTTTCATTTGACCATTTCATATATTTAGTTTTGGGGTTAAGTAACTTTTGGTAATAGAGATAAAAGGCGTGGTAAGTAACTTTGTTTTATGCATAAATGAACTTTGCTAAACATATGAAAATGAGATGATGTGATATGATTGTTAATGAGACAACTATCCACCAGAGATAAAATGGCAGTAAGCAATTAAATGCCACCATACAACCTCGAACAATGAGAAAACAGTAAAATTACAAAAATACCAAACTCCAAGGAAAATTCAAAACGGAAAATCCTTGTATAAATGGCAAAATCAAAAGCTCAAACACATCAAACGAATGGAAAGAACTGGTTTTATAGCTTGCGTAACCTCTCATTTGTATGACAGTCGCATAAAATTACATTATATTGACAACAATGTGTGACCAAAACAAACACCAATGCCTTATAATTTACGAAAATCAAATATGACAGACACGAACCAACGACAACCATTGTACTACATGCTCCTGATTTGGAACAGGCACTTGCATAATGTGGCGTGATTAAACATGTTTGTGAGCGCTCAACCGTCCCCATAACATGAGACAGTGGTGTAACAGCACAACATAAAAACAATCAGTTGCAATTGGCTTAACTCAAAAGATAAGTACGAGGCAATGTACCGAATTACCTTTTTTTCAATGCAAAAGAAGGAATACGATATATTAATTAAAGATATGTTTATTTCCCCCTAGAAGTCTTTTGGTCTTTTTTTTTTGTCGTTCAAGTTGGCTCATTGACGTATTCACAATCTTCTTTTTTAACTAGTTAGAAATGTGCGTAAAGAGTGCCTTAACTATCATCTATATTTATGGTGCCATGACCAGGATCTTGG